GGGCATCCCCAGGCCGAGGACTTGGCGTTTAGGTCCCCGGCGACGAGCACCCGGGCGGAGCGACTCCCGCCGATCAGGACGCCGACCTCAGAGAGGAATCTCTCGAAGTCGGCGAGACTCCGATTCGGCGAGAAGTACACCCCGACCACCAGGATGTCGCCGACGAGGGCCGCCACGTATCCTCGGCCTCGGACCACGTCCGCGAAGGCCGGAGAGCCTGCGACGGACCGGGACGTAAGGGCCACCAGGCCGTCCGCATCCCCTACCCATTCGTCCCCAGACGGGACCCGGTAGGGCTCGGCCACCACCGCCACATGTATCTTCCACTCCGCCATGCTCTGGAACAGGAGGTCCTGAGCTCTGGCGGAGTGGTTGATATTGGCTTGGAGGAGGTTTAGGGCCATTATCCAATGGCCATTGGAACCTCCTCAACCACCGGCGCCGCCGCCTGATGGGTTAGGTTCGAGGACTGCCCGGCCGTCTGGCTCGGGCCGTCCCCTCCTGGCTTCCGGTTTCTCCTCCCTTTGGGTGGGGGGACGCACGCCTTGCTCCCGGCGCGGTGTTCCGCAGGGGCACCGGCCGCGGCGCAGACGACGCAGCGAGGCGCAGCCGTGCATCCGCGGGCCTTGTGCCCTGGTTGGCCGCACCTGAAACAGATCCCGGAGCGGTCCACCCCTGCCTGGCACTGGCCAGATAGGTGGCCTGGAGCCAGGCACCTATAGCACACGGTGGGCCGAGGATCCAGCAACCTGGCCTGGGCGGACACCCAACCCACCAGTAGGCGTCCGTTTGTCGCGATCTTCTTGGCGGCCACGACGGGACACTGGACCACAATTGAGCCCAGTCCGTCGCGGCCGGTCGACATGGCGCCGGCCCGCAGCTGTTCGGTTTGGCACCCTCCTGCTGCAGCGATGGCGGCCACCACCTCGGCAGCGGTGGTGGCGTCGTCCAACCCCGCCACCCGTAGGGCCACCGTCTTGACGGGCCGGGAGACGCGGACGACGCCATCGTCGAGGACTTCCCGCAGCCTCTGGGCCAAGGAGTCCGCCTTCTCGCCACTGGAGGCGCCCGGGAACTCGAACACGCGTCCCCCGTTGGCAGCCTTCCGAAGGCGAACGCCCTGGGCTCCGAAGTCGGCCGGGTTAATCCTCTCCTTTGCCGAGGCAATGATGTTAGCGTAGGTGACACCCCGCTCCGCCGCGCCCGGCTGCAACGTGATGGTCACAGCTGAGGACCGAGGCGCGTGTAGTTTGTCTACCCCGCTCTTCACCTGAGGCCGCCTTTTGGGGCCCACCTTTATCCATTCGCCCACTGCGGGCTGCGACTGTTGCTGCCCGGGTGGCGAATTCCTCTTCTTCTTCTTTTTCTTCCTCCTCTTCTTCCTCTCTTTTCCTCCGCTGGGGGGTGAGGAAGCCTCCTGGAACTTGGGCAGGCTCTGTGCAGAACCCCCAGAGCGTTGCTGTGGCGCTGGTGGGGCCCAGCGGTGAGTGCCGCTGGGGCCGGGTTGAGCCGCCAATTGGGGTGGCTGCCGGGCGAGTTTGGCAGCGTACGTGCCCTCGCCTCTCTTCTTGTCGGCCGCGAGAGGTGGCCGCATGTTCTTCTCCGGGAGGAGTCTGTCTTCCAGTGAGGCCAGGCGGGCGTTCATCATCCCGCCGACCTGGACCATCACTGCGCGACAGATCTCCTCCACGGAGGGCGTCTCGCTCGGTGTTGTTTGTAGGGGCCGTGATGTGGGGGCGGCCTCCATCGTCACATCCGGGTCGGGGTGGCTCGCGGAACCCCGTTTCCGCAAACTCTCCTTTATTTCAGCGAGCTCCATGCGAAGTGCTGCCATCTCGGCGCGCAGTCGGACGTTGTCTTCCTGAAGCTGCTTCGTCTCTTCCGTTTGCGTGCGGGCCCCAAGGACTTCCACAGCATCCTTGATGGATGCCGCGGCATCCTTTAAGGCCCGCACGAAGGTTCCCTTCAGACTGGAGGACTTGGTTGCCACTTTCGCGATCACCTCCAAGTCCTCCCGCACCTGCTCCTGTAACTGTGCGGCGCATCTTTCTCCTCCAGCTGCCGGACGAGGGAAGAGTGCGGCCCGCGTCTCACGCCGGAAGCGAGCAAGACCTGTCTCCTTCTCCAGGTCCTCCTCCTTGCTCGCGGCCCGAGCTTTGGCAGCCGCCCTTTTCTGCTGTTGGCGCCACTTTGCCGCCGCAGGGGACGCCGCCCGGTCGTCGTCCGTGGAGCAGTCGCTGAGACGGGGCCGTTTCGCGCCAAACCCTTCCAACGCGACGCTAGGTCTGCAGTCGGAGTCCGACGCCGCTCCGTCGTCGCACTCCATCCTCGCAACGGAATCTGGGGTGTCGCTGGTCGCCGCGAGGCGCTGCTGCGAGGCGTTCAACACCGCGATCGGAACGCGCTCCAGCAGCACTCTCGCCTCCTTCATGAGGACGTCCTCCAGTGAAGGGCGCCTCATCGTCTCCTGAGCCAAATCGCGTGCTTCAGAGTCCATCTTCGTAGCCAAGGTCGTCGTAGTATCCGTCAGGCAGTTTTTGCCCCCCCCAGAATACGAGGGGCAGCCCGCGGCCGAGGCCGCGGGGAGGGATTCTCCTCCAGCTAAGCTGGAGGTACCCTCCTGGGGTAAATCGTCTTTCAAACTTGCCATTGCATACGTGACCAGTGTTGTCGGACACCGGAAACCGCCTTTGATACGGGGTGAGGTCCCCATCCCTCGCGGCCTAGCAGGCCGCCATCCTCCGACCCCTAAGGGTCCGCTGGTGTTTCCCGCGGGCCTGTCCGGTATGGGAGGCCCTATCCGGCATAGCCCCGCGGAAAACACCCATCCACACCGCACGACGGCACCTAAGTGCACGTCGCACCCTACACCGCCCATAGGGCCCCGTCCAGGGTCTGCGCTGACCGCAGGACCCGACAAGATCCCCG